GCCCCCTGCTGGCCCCACTAACACATCTTCCTGCGCACACAGTTCATGCAGCCCCCACCCCCACCCCACTCTCTCCAAAAGCTAAGAAAGGTCTTTGCTTACAGTGTTTCCGATTGATCTCACAGACCCATCAGCTGTTTCTTGAAGTACACCAATGAGTCAATATCCCTAACATTTTTGCGCATAGTTATTCAGTATTAATTAACTACTTTTAATTTTCACCCTTAATCTTCATTTCATTATTTCATTGTTGTGAGTAGACTTTATCAATAGCGGTGAAGATCTTGGATCTGCTTGCAGCGTCTGCTGTATTCTCTGAAATCTGCCCTCTCTTGGCAGGTGTACCGCCTGGAGGACTCCTGCTGCCTGTTCACTCTGCAGGGACATTCTGGGGGCATCACTTCCATCTACATCGACCAGGTCAGCTCTCTGCCGCGCACAGTGAGGGAGTGCCGCCACCTTTCCAGCTCCCATCAGTTCTCTCTGAGCTGTTCTCTCCTAATTCTCTTGACATTCTCCGCCCTGCGTTTCAGACCATGGTGCTGGCCAGCGGGGGGCAGGATGGGGCAATCTGTCTATGGGATGTCCTGACGGGCAGCCGTGTCAGCCACGTTTACGGGCACCGCGGGGATGTCACTTCTCTGGTCTGCACCACTTCCTGTGTCATCAGCAGTGGGCTGGATGACCTGATCTGCATCTGGGACAGAAGCACTGGCATCAAGCTGTATTCCATCCAGCAGGTCAGTCTACCCTGCAGAATGCTTTGAGACTTGTGAAACTCTGCTACAGGATATCCAGCAAGCCTGTCGTGAATAATCACTGTATTGAAAAGGTTCGTTACGCAGACTGTACTAGCAAGCACTGTGTCGTGATATTAACACACTGACATGGTTCTGTCCACACTGAACTCGCTGCGTCTTTCTTCCCATTCTCTCCCACTGCAGGAGGTGGGATGCGGGGCCAGTCTGGGGGTGATCTCGGAGAGCCTGCTGGTCACAGGGGGACAAGGGTGCGTGTCGTTCTGGGACCTGAATTTCGGGGATCTACTACAGACGGTGTACCTGGGCCAGAGCAGCGAGGGGCAGGGCGTGAGACAGCTGCTGGTCTTGGACAATGCCGCCATCGTGTGTGACTTTGGCAGTGAGCTCAGCCTGGTGTACGTCCCCTCTGTGCTAGAGAAGCTGGACTGAACCTGGGAAAGGACCCCAGACCCGCCAGGCCCCACTCACTAGCCTGCCCTGCTTAGCAGTACTGGGATGTCAACATATTTTTCAGCAGATACAGACAAGACCAAAATCTTTCTACATTTTATGGGTATACCGGTAGGAATGCAGAATGCAGGCTAGAACAAACCTCTCGGCGGGGCCAGGCTATGGGGACCAGGTCGTGGGAACTCCCAAAGTGAAATAAGCTGAATTGGGGAGGATCTGCGAGGAGGATTGTAGAGGAATTGTCAGTGAACACAGAGAAGGAAGCACCAAGCATCTGTATTTACTCAAAAGCAGGAATTAAGGTCAGTTTTGTGACAGGACGGTGTCTCCTCTCCCACAGTTGTGTTCCTGAACGTCATTTATAGAGAGTGTCGTCCATTTGGCACACTGCTGTCCACAGTCTCCCTCCCCACAGCCCTGTATGTGGCGACAACATCGGCATCTTCATCTTTCTTCTTTTACTCTCCCCCTCTTTCTTCCCTCATCCTCGGTTTTTGTCTCACTGTTAGGAATCGCTTACACGACTGTCAAGGTTCCATTAAATGCTGCACATGTAATCTCATTTCCCAGTTGTCAGTCGTAGTGGTAGGATCACACTTCCTGACTCCTTCAAGGATGAATGCACAGGAGTGTCTCTCTCTCTCTCACATCTCGGTCAGGACCAGGCCTTGTGGAGTGATCACCTAGAACGTGCCAGCCTCCTTCAAGGTGCTAGTATTTCCATTTGCTCTCAAAACAGCTGGTGGCTATGACCTGTGCACTGGTTAAAGATTTTTCAGGTACAGCTTTGTTGAAGAGCAGTCTTTCTTACCATTAGATAAATGGGCTGTTCTGCTGAAGCTATTCACAGGGTATATGAGAGTGAGCTGTGTCTGTGTGGCTTGTCTGATTATGAATGTGTGTGTGTCTGAGGAGCTTTTAGGATCCCAGCTACTGTCGGTATCTGGATCTGTCCCTCTATTTCTGGTTCTTACTTTATGTGATGTTTTTATGCTTGTGGTCCCTGGTCCCAGGGTGTCCTGAGTGAAGGAAATGGAAGAAGTGAAGTAGTAAATATCAAACATTTTACTAAGTACAATATTGACACTAAAAGACTTGTTAGCCGCACTGTCAAATCATATTTTTAATATGCTAAAATCTTTTATTTATTAGCAATGAATTCTGAATACTAGCTAATTTACAATATTTTTTTATTGAATTTCCATAAGATAATTAGAAAGTGTGCCTTGTGGGTGTGTACAAAGTGGACTAACGTTAAGTCTTTCCCCTGGTGGGATGGATGTGTTATTTGCAGGATGTAATTTGAAAAAGCCGATAGCTGTTATATCACAACTCAACCAATATTGCACACCGAGAGCTCTCTTTATACACACTGTAGCACAAAAGCCATTTTAACAGTTATTTACGTTGTTTTTTCGTGTTCATGTTTTAGTTTAATTGTTGCAGGACACTTTTCACTCCTTATTTCACTTGAGCTACTTTTGTTCTGTGTAGCTGCCTGGGCAGCAAACTGTGTACCACTTGAGTAACAAGAGCAGAGCAGTTGTCACCACAGGATATGGATCTCGTGTCTTTTGTGGATGTGGCGCCTCTGCTAATTGGCTGATAGACTGACCACATCGGTCAGACTGCTTGGGCACAGAGATGAAGGCGAGCACATCTGAGCAGAAGGAAGCACTGACAGGCTGGAATGTGTGAGAGAACGGTGGCATTGGCTTAGTTCATTTTCGGCGGCATGCATGTGCTGGCAAAGTTCTTCGAGTGTCGTACACTGGGAAGAAGCTGCTGTTAAAAAATCATTTTAAAGAAATGATAAGAACGGACAGCAGCTGTCACTGAGCAAGGACTAGGAGATGTCAGCTTCCAGTTGAGAGCAAAGAGATGCCTAAAATGTGTACAGTCAACTGTAAAAACACACAGATCAGATCTTAGGGTATCTCATGAAGAGTTTTCTTAAGCTGTTACCGACATGCTTATTGTGAGGGTGAAAAATCTCTGCTGGATGCTCTTTATTTATAAGAATGGGGGCGGTATTGCGACAGTTTTCTGCTGTGATTTGCTTTTTTTCTGTTGTCCAGCTCTGGATTAGATCTGAAGGTTCTTGCTTGAGGAGAATGCAGTGTAATATTACCCATGTTCAGCAATCCAGGGAAACCAGTACACTTTCACTCTCTGGGTCTCTCTCATTTACTAGAAAAGCCCTCACTCATTTCCCTTTTCCTGTCACCCCTCATGGAATTTTCCCCCTCCCCTGAATCACTTACCTCCCCTCTCTATCTCCAGTTCCCCTCATTCTCTCACTCCATGATTTTCCGACTTCCCTCACACCTCTTGAATCTCGACACTGGGCTGCTGAACTGCAGCAGAGTAACGTCTGCTGTTCCACAGAAAGACGATTGGAGGAAAACCTCACACACAAGACGGACATCTGATCATTCAACGGTTTTAATTTATTTGCTTTTAGATGTAAATATTAAGTGAGTTTTAGAAGTGCTATAGAAATGCTGCTTAAACTTTGAAATGAAATGAAATTATGATTATTTTTGTTTATCTTTGTATTTTTCCAGCCTACATTGTTTGTGGGTCACGTGGTGATTTGGGGGACATAGTGATGTTGGTTGCTGGCGTGGTCATCTGTAAGTGTGCTGTAAAAGATGCCATACCACCTGTTGTATGACCCACCCTAATCATAAAGTCATAACTATTCTTCAACTGGGACACTGATCTAGCTGGTAGTCCCAGCTGCGTGGTGGGACAGACTTGCAACTGAGAGGTCCCATTTTGGCAAGAAGCTTCTGACTAAAAGCTTAAAATTGGTTAAGGCAGAAGTTTTGGTTTCAAGACGGATCCAGGAATTCTGTTTATTCTGGTTTTATTTTCAATTGAGCTCTCATTTACACCATGGAATCCTGAATCTGCTTATATGTCTAATTAAACCATTTGTAATTGAATTGATCAAGTAAAGGAGAGATCAGTTGGAATGAAATCTGTGATAAGAGCTGAAAACCCCTTTGTTTAGGACTTGGATGGAAATATCATTAGTTACTTTTCTCCACTTACTGTATGAGAATGAAGCTACTGTGAATTTAAACCTTTATTGGTGGCGATTTGCAGGCACACACATTTCCTGCATTTGAAATCTCTAAAGTAGCACTGGGTAATGCATTCTGAGTCAGCAGCTCACATTATATAACTGACCAGGAAGAGCAGAAAGAGATGGCAGGATCAGAGCTGGTCTCTTTGGCACGTTTAGCTAAGGACACACAAGTCGGTCAGTGCAAGCTTTGTTTGGTCAAAGAGAGTTCGCCTTGTTTCAGGATTATGTCAGCAGCAAGTGATGGCTTTTGAGACATCAAGGCTACAATTTAGGCCTGTAACATCTCATCACAGGTTTCTTAGAATGCGAAGCCTGTGTGAAGGTTAAGGTAATATTTCTGTTATCTTGTGACCGCAGTGTTAGCACCTCATAGCCTGATCTTGTCAGGTCTTAGAAGCTACAGTGTTGTCCATGGTCAGTATTGGAATGGGAGACCACTAAGGAACACCATATTGCTACACTGAGTGGTATTGGTGGACCAGTAGGTGGCGCTCTGGTTCAGAATTTTCGAACCAATACCCCAATACTGTGACCAGGACACTGCTGTGGTAGGTGTCATCCTTCAGCTGAAACATTAAGGTCTGTTTAATTGAACAGATTGTTGGTAGTGGATTTAACACCGTTATCCTGGTCTCAGTTAATTTTGGGCCTGCTGTTGGTTTGTGTCACCTGGCTGCACTTTGTACTTCTGTGGTGGATGAAGTGGGTCCCCTTCACTTATATGAAGTGTTTTGGAATCCTTTAAACTTAACAGATGTTATCACTTCTAATTATTATATTTTTGCACTGATTTATCCCTTCCATTGCCCTATGTACATGCACAAATTTCAATTAGTATTGGAATGTTTCAGGTTTGTTGACTGTCATGATTAAATGGAAGTTTGCGACTCATTTCCAGACACCAGATTACTTTTGTGTTGGCTTTGTCAGTTTAACTGTGGGTCCACAACTGTGTTGTGTTGCATCCAGCCTGGGTCTACTTCCAGACCGTGTCCTTTTGGGTGGTTTGTCTCCGTCTAAATTGTAGGCTGGTTCAAAATTGCTTTCTCTGGATATTTCTTCTACCAGGCTGTTGAACCAGCATCTGCCTGATGATTCCAGCAAATCTGGACAGTTTTTGCTTTAAGATGCTGCTGCTAAAGATCTGATGTCATAGCTTGAAAAGGTCAAGATAACAAACTAGAAATGTATAATTTGTAGGGGCTAGCAAGAGAGAAAGCTGTACAGGTTATAAATTGATACGGATTGCTGGAACATGCCCTAGTACTGATGCAGTTACAGTACTGCATGACCCTTATCAATGATCAATGAGAAGAGGATACTTCAGTGAAGACTCTGGTCCAAATGTGTAATTGCACTGAACAGAAAATGTTTACTGAAGAAAGATTAAGTGGCTGTGTGTCAGGATGCCACTCTTGGTGTGCCACAGCGACAGTGGTCCCAGCTCTGAAGCCTAGCTGTACAACCGTGGACCCCTGAGCTGTCTTGTCTCCTGAGAGGCTCCATCACTGTTATGCGATATATCGGTTCTGATTGTATGAGCGTTTTTTTTTGTAAGACAGACACTAAAACTTCATACTGTATAATTTAAAGATTGTTAAAGGTAGGGGAAGCCGATTAATGTTGGTGTCTCATTTGTGAAGTGGCAGTGGTCTTGCCTGATGGACCAGGTTGAAGCCTCTACATGATCCGTTGCAGCTCTCAATTTCTTCCGAGATTTGTAAATATTGCTCTGTACTTTGGAAAATGTAACTTATCTAGGGCTTTGCTTTTTTACTGCAATGTTGCGCTGTGGAATGTGAAATGAGAGGGGGGGGTGGGTGAGGGGGGGTGGCTCTCTCTGGGTGTAAATATTGAGTGGCTCTGAGGTCTGCTGTCCCATGCTGTCCTCCCCACAAACCCCCCATTACTGTACAGTGTAACCATAGTGTACGTAGAGGATAAAACTAATGTTCTGTACTATTTTTAACTTTAACACAGGCAAAACTTTATACTATTTACAAATAAATGGCTTTGATACTTTAAGTGGCATTTGTTGGTTTTTTTTGTTGGATATCTAGGCAAATTAATACAAGATCTGGTGGTTCTCATCACAAAAAACTATTCTGACTAAATATGGCTACAACACCTACTTACTGGCCACCTATAGATGCAGGACCTTGTCCTTCTTATAATACTGAATATGGATCACTAAAAAAGGAACTGAACAACATGCTTCCTTGATATGTGTTGTGTTTCTTGAGGTACAGCTTTGTGACCCACAGCCAGCCTGTTGCGCTGTACTAGAAAAGACCCAGAACTCTTTACACCTTAAAACTGCTGAAGGAGGGGAATAGTTCATAACCATTTCACAGCAAAGAAAGGACACTGATTTTAGCTGTTAATATTTTATTTTTTATTTACAGTTTTAGAAATACCATAAACCGTTTAAGTGTTAAGTCTTCTGATTCACATCTGATTAAGAATGGTAACGATTCCCCTGGTTAATAGAGTATTCCCCCAGTTACATGAAAGCCGCTACTCTTTCCCAGTTATGCTTTAGATCTACATAAAGACAAACGTGGTTCCAACTAGTACTGTATAGTGTAGTGTGCAACAGGTGAGCTCCTGTGGATTTCCATATTCTAGCCCCGTGTTCTCATACATACAAGTAGAAGTTGCTTTCCTTGGAGTGAGCCAAAACATGCATCGCCACTGGGGTTTAACCTCAAAACTCTGCTTTTCAACAATTCTACTGTCACGTTGGCTGCTGCTCAGCCCATTCTTGGAGCTTAGATCATCTGAATCCGTGTTTACTCTGGTTATATACCCCATCTCCACAGCCAGAGGGGGGAAGAGAACACATGCACATCAATATGCCGCCCTGAGAAATGAGTGACTGATTCCCACAATCCTCTCCTCAGTGACTTACGGGCACAGCCAGCAGCACAGCTCACAGATATACATGCTGGGATAGCGGGGGGGGGAGGGGGGTGCTACACTCTCTGAACTGGACACTGAGCACTAAGGGGGAAGAGAGAGTGGAGGTCTCACACCATCTGTTCAAGACACACAGAGAGACTAACCCATAGTCCTGTGGTCCCAGTGGCAGCGAGGGAAGTAGCTGCAGCTGGAGCGGTTTGGGCCGCCAGCCGGGTCAAGGCTTGGAGCACTGAACTGGTCCCGGACTCGGAGAGAAGGACAGAGCTACGGACAGGAAGAAAGGGCAAGAGAAGAGGAGAAAAGGGAAAGGAGACGCCGGTTCAGGTCTTGTTGAGTGTCCACAGCGGGTCAAGGCAGCTGAGCGGGTCGTCCTCCGAGGCCGGCCCCTGCAGGCCCTGCCCGTTGTGGTGCTGCAGGAAGCTGTGCTTGCTGATGCGTGGTTTTCCACGGGAGCCACTGTCCAGGGTGAAGGCCTCAGCTGTCAGAGAGGCCAGCAGCTCCAGCGAAGACGAGGAGGAGGAGGAGGAAGTCACAGGCGGGGCCTGAGGCTGGGGCACATCCCCATGGTGATTGGAGTTGCCGGGGGCAACCTCAGTGCTGCTGTGGTTTGGCGAGGGGGAGTGAGGCTTGCTGGGGGAAGAGGGGTCTGGGGGGGTATGGGAGGGGGGCGGGGGCTCCGCGAGCTGGGCAGACACAGAGAGATCAAGCTGGGGCTGCGCAGGCAAGCTGCTGGGCTCCGGGCCACCTTGTGAGGAGAGACCGAGCTGAACTGATGACGACTCCAAACTGGGCTCCGGCAACAGGTCGGCAGTGGAGCACGGGGGGCGAATACTGAGCTTGGCAATGGTGGCCTGGATAGAGCTGATCGGCATGTCTCCCCCCAGGACGATGTCCTGGGTTTCTTGACGCGAATATGGCTTCAAAAGAAGAAAAAAAAACGAGATTAGGACACATCAGTAAAGGTCAGAATCTTTTTCTCATTAAAATGTGTAAGGCAGATCTGTACCTTCATGGCGGTGTTGCTGGTGTTCTTGCTGCAGGGGGCAGTAGAGACACCATGGCGTTGCAGGACCTGCTCTGCGTGTTTCAGAATAGCTTCATAGCAGAATTTGAGGTGCAGCTGCAGGATCGAGAAACCAGGTCAGTTCAGTTAACTCTTAGAACACTAACAACAAACCAAGACCCAGTCTGATGTTTCATCAACAGCTGAACTCCTGTCAGTGCTGTAACCGGTGTTTAATCACAAAACCCCCTTCTCCAGCAATCCCGCACGTTAGTGTGTATAAGAGAGTGCTCCATAGTTTCAGAGCTGTGTGAGGCTGTCACCTTCTCCTGCAGCATGTTCTTCCTCTGCTGCCTCATCTTCCTCACCAGCAGCAGCAGGTCTAGGATGCCATTCCCTGCCTCCAGCTCCTGGAGAGCAGCATACAGCAGACAGAACGCCCCAGTGCGCCCCACGCCAGAACTGCAGAGAAACAGTGGGAACGGAGAAAGTCCTCTTACTGCTCAAACACAGCTCCCATTTCTCTTACTTGCGCTTAACCCCCCATTTTCAGCCTGTTCAAAAACACGTTAGTACAAATCAATCTGTTCCCAACCAGGTTATCTCAAAACACCTCTTAGCCAAGCAGAACTGTTTAGGCAAACCTTTAAGCAATAAAGATCCCCAGACTCCTTGAGATTGTGAACATTTGGCACAAACAACCACTTCTTATTGGTAATCTTATTTGGTAAAAAACAGTCGACTGTATTTCAAGCTCTGTCCTGGGCAGGAGAGCTGTCCCTGCGGGAGACCACACAGCCGATGCCACACTCCGCAACACACAGCTTCCAGAGTTGAGAATGACAGTACTTGAAATCAGCTTCGGCGATCAAAGATTTGGGAAGCGAAGCCCTTCATATATCAGTGATATTCTGTGCAGAATGTAACGGGCACACATGCACACTGTCCCTGGAAATATGGGAACAGTGTTGTTACGTCTGCAGAAATCACAGAAATGGCATCTGAATTGGAACTTTGTTGAACTTAAAATCAAAGAACAACGGACAGAACAAAAGAGAGGAGTCACCAACTACTTTCAGATCGTGGTCTTGTGAAAACCAAGTCGTTCGCTGCCTCACAGGTTTACAATTTGTTTTCCACACTGCTCATGCATTTAATGTTACAGCGACACAGTGTAATGGTTAAAAACTCAAGTGATGGGACATAACAGCTCTGGCTATTAGTCCGTTGAGTTAAGTGTGGGGATTTCTTATGAAATCCTCAGTAAATCAAAATGCAAAATGACATACAGCAGGGTTACGTATCACACAGACCGCCTGCATATGCAAAGTACAAAACACTGCAGCTCTTCCAACTTGAAACAGATGCTGCCACATTCCCAGTCCCCTCAACATTATGACCGTAGCCTTTATTCCTGGCCTACCTGCAGTGCACTACAACAGGGGTGTGCAGGGGTCGCTGGTGGAGGTAGTGTCCGTGCACCTCCTGGATGAAGCGCATGAGATTGCTCTTGCTGTCAGGCAGCCCCCTGTTGAGAAGAAGGGAGAAACAGAGAGGGGCTGAGCCCGGAAGAGACGCAGCCGGGGAGAGGTCGTGCCTGCACTGGGTGTGTGGACACTCACAGCTCCGGCCACGAGGTGAACTGCAGGTGGATGATGGTGCGCTTGAGGCTCTGGTCACGGTACTGCAGCCCGATCATACGCTCCACGTGAGTGGGGGTCACCTTCTGTGTGGTGAGGGTCAGGGTGATGGGACCCTGCGAGACCTGTTGGCCCCGCTCTGATGGAAAGTATCGCAGCACCTTTTGCTGAACAGTGAGAGAAAAGTGTCATTAGGCGCCAGGCTGGCTGATAATGTGCATTACTTGCTGACTTTACATAAAACATTGCACTGTGGTATCAAGTTATAGAAAACACAAACTTATTCAGATATATTGACCTTTGATAAAGCTGTATAAAAGTAGGTGCACTGCAAATGCATAAAATAATATATCAGAATGTCATCTAAAATCCAATGCGGTATATTGCATTTGTAATCTTCAAGTGGCTGCCATAAAACTGTCAACTCAATTAGAAAAGAGGGTTATGCTCTGTAAAATCTTACTCAGGTTGGAATGCTGTCGTATAAGGTATGTTCTCACTTAAAGCTTATCTTTCTCAACAGTACTGTAATGATACAAAATGTCACCTTTCACATCATTAGAACATTTCTTGACTGAAAGGGTGCCACTGCAAACACGAGGCAGAGAGGAACGAGACCGAGATGGCGGTCTCTTTCCTCTGCGTGCCAAGTGGTACAAACACAACCCACATACATGTTCGTATCTCAAGAATTTTTATTGCCGTACTTTATGGAAGCTTGGACCGTGAAGTCAGATATACACAAGTCAGGGAGAGATGCTGTATGCATACAAACCTATATGAATTCCAATGATTAAAAGATGAACAGGGATTTGTGCATAAAACATTCTTTTAACATATAACTATAAATCTTAAAATACACTACAATATAGGTGCAAGAAGAGAAAAATCACTGCAAGAAAGCACAAGCAAGGACAAGTTTCGCTTGTGGCTGCAGGAATGTTGAACTGAGGGACCTCTTTACTGGCTCAACTGGTAAAAGTGGTCACCTGAGTACAGGTGCTCTGTGAGCACGGGTTCAGGCTAAGGTCAAGTCACAGTAACAGGAATTTTTTGGTTGCTGATGCGCAATTGGCTGAGCACCATCAGGCGTGGAGTGGGACTAGTCTCTGTTCTCAGCAGCCTCACAGGCGCTGACAGACGTGCAGTGCTGTCCGTGAGGGACATACCTCTCACCCCAGCAGCTCTGACCCTTTGGTAGCGAGGCTCTGCTGCCTGTGAGGTGTGGAAAGACAAGTGGCTCAAAGGAGGGCAACTCCCTCATTCTCTTCCCTGCGCAGCTGTGGAACTCCAAGCCGAGACACAAGAAACACACAGCTGGCTATTTGGGACAAGTGTGCCAAATATAACAGGCAATTTTAACTAATTTTTAAAAGAGAAATGTTATACTGAAACGATTAAGCAGATGCGAGTACAAATGTCAATGCGTTTTAAAACAATGAACAAAACATTCACATTATATCCAGTACAATTCTGATCCTTATCTATGGAACTCCTTACTGAATTGCGATCTTGAGCCTACAGTACAACTATCTTGAGACCCGTTTCAGAACTGGATGTTTTTTTTTCTGTAAAGTACCCTAAAGTCAGTCGCTGAACTAAAGGTGCAGCAGCTGCACGGTCCTGAATCGAAGATCATACCTTCTCCAGCTCCTGCTCGGACACCAGCATGACGATCAGCGATACCTTCTGCTCGTGGATCATGAGCCAGAAGTCGGCGGCGGTACCAGTGAGCGGCGCCTGTGTGGCGATGATCCGGGGGCAGTACGGCGAAAGGTCCTCCACCAAGCTGGCGTTGATGTAGTCGTCCTTGCCTGATTGCAGCACCACACGGTTCCGGTCGTACGGCATGATATCCTGGTGCCGGTTCTTCATGGTGTAACAGCGGGCGATGGCAATGGACAGCTGGCGTGCGTCCTTCTCCTGCTGGTCCTGCAGCTCCTTCCAGCGGGCGTCCAGCTCCGTGGGGCCGCCTACGGCGGACAGGGGCCTTTCCAAGGCCAGCACCGTGCCTCGGAATCGCTCCAGCTCCGCGCACAGCTTGGAGACGCGCTCCGGGGCCTGGTAAGGGTCGCCCTCGATCAGCCGCACTCCCTCGGCCTTCTTCCTCCGCTGGCCGTCCTGGGGGTCAGCCTTGGTGGGCAGCAGCACGTTAGCGGCGGCCTTGGCGCCTCCGTGCTGGCTCTCGGGGCTGGAGGACAGGAGGTCGTCGGTGCTCGAGGCGTGCCGCTGGAAGAGGTCGGAGGAGCCTGGCGAGGCACCGCTGGCTGCAGAGGCTGAGGCCGGCGGAGGAGTCAGGTGGGTCCCCACCGGCGTGAGGGAAGGAGAAGGTCTCTGTGGTACGAGGCCCAAGGAGGGCGGCCCTGGGGAGGGGGAGGGGGATGGGGAGGGGACAGAGGAAGCAGGAATGACACTAGGTGTCTGGGTGACAGAAGCCCCTGAAGAGGATGGGAGGTTGTGCTGGGGATGTGAAAGAGGGAGGCCTCCCGACGGCCCCAGGGGTACAGGGTGCTGCAGGGAGACAGCAGGAATAGCCCCAGCAGGAGGGGCGGGGAAGGCCACCGGAGCGGGTGTGGAGACGCTTGGGGGCAGGGGCTGGGGCTGCTGTTGCGAGGCTGCCAGTGGGGCTTGGTGAGGCATGACGGGCGCTCCAGCAGCATAGCACAGTGCCCCCGGCGGAGGAGGAAGGCCCTGCTGGGGTAGGTGCATGGGGTTCTGGGAAGCAGGAGGCTGCTGAGTCTGTAAAGGGCCGGAGCTGGGAAGGAGGAGAGGCTGGGAGGCGGGGGGTAACTGAGGCTGTGCTGGGAGAGAGCTGGGGACCAGATGAGGCTGGGAAGGCAGGGAGGCTGGGGGTAATGGCTGAGGGGGGACTTGGCCTGGGAGGAGGTGAGGCTGTGAGGCAGGAGGGAGCGGAGGCTGGGAGGCAGAGGGCAGGTGAGACTGGGCAGGGTTCGAAGAAGAGGGGAGGTGAGATTGCGAGGGACGTGTGTTCATTCCCTGAGGCTGTGAAGGGACAGAAGCTGGAGGCAACTGAGGCTGAGGAGCAGGGGAGAGGTGAAGAGGCGGACGGTGAGTAAGGTGAGGTTGCGAATGATGGGAAACCGGCAGCAGGCTGGGCTGCGAAGCCAGGGAGGCTGGTGGAAGGTAGGGAGGCTGAGGCTGGGGAGGCAACACTGGGTGCAGGTGATGCTGAGGACGCCCAGAGAAGGCTGGCGGCTGCTGGAACTGAGGAGGTAGCGGCTGCCTGGGCTGTGGCACATACTGGGGATACTGGGACAGGTGCTGAGGGGCCCCCGGAGGTGGTGGAGGTTGGTAGAAAGACTGCATGGCTGGCTGCTGCTGCTGCCCCATGGCTCGGGGGAACTGGGCAGGCAGCTGGGAGAACTGCTGCTGGAGCTGCACCCCAGGCTGTGGGTAAGAAGGGAACTGGCCCATCGGAGGGGGTGCCCCATACCGAGCAGGAGGCATCTGTGGCTGGGGTGGGGGCAGCATCGTGGGGGCTGCTAGGTTGGGCTGCCCAGAGGCAGGGGTGAAGCTGGGGATGGGGGTTTGCACACTGTCCACAGTGGTGGTGGAGGGACGTACCGGCATAACACCCCCTGCTGGGCTGGGCACAGAACTGCAGGGCTGGGAGGAAGGAGGCAGGCCATACGCAGAGCTAGGAGGTTGCTGGGCGGAGGGGGCTTGGGGAGCGGCGGGAGGGAAAGGGTGGGGACCACTGGGCAGGGGCGCATTGGCGGGGGGGAAGCCCCGCGGCTGGGGAGGAGCGTAGTGGGGCAGCCTTGCCAGGGCCTCAGGCGGAAGCACGTGCCTGGGAAAACGCGGCTGGCTGTAAAGGGCAGCGCCAGGCCAGTGCAGAGGGGGGCTGCCTGTGCCCCCAGGGAGGAAGACTTCGGGGGCAGGGGGCCGAGTGCCCCTGGGGAACGGCAGTGGGGCATCTGGCGGGAGGCTGCGCAGCTCCTCTGGCAGGTCTCCCCCAAGCCCCAGGATGGCTGCACTCAGCTGGGCCAGCTCAGGATCCTCCACAGCTGAGCCCGAGTCCATGTCTGAGGCCTTCTTCTGCAGGGGCGGCTTGGGAGCTGTCGGCCTTGGGGGTGCCTTCTTTTGCAGCTCTCTGTAGAAAGACGGTCAGCGAGACAGATGGGAAATGTTAAGACATTGACACAGAAAAGCATCTGCAAAAGCCAAACCATCACCCCTCTGTTGTACTTGCTTTATTCTCTTGTTCTTCTCCAGTCTGAAACATATAATGAGAGACTGTACTTTGAATCCTGCTTAGATGGCACTGCAGCTGTAGCATGACAGCCCAAAATACAGTATGTTTTTCATTCTCCAAAAACTGCAGACAAATGGTCACCGACTTCCACAAGTTTTAGAGTTGTTACAAAAGAATCCACACAAAGCTTAATCTTTCCATTTTCCGTGTCCTTTACGAAGACATTTGAGGCTACGGGTATCGTGTCAACACGGCTAGGAAAAATATGCAAGTGGATCTTGCCACCACAGACTGTGAGACAGGTAGTTTGAGAGGCAATCATAAATCCAAGGGCAATAGCTGGAGATCTCAAACACACACTGGCATCAGCTCGATTCAAAGTGGAAAACCATCATTCAACACTGACTACATTACTGTGGTTTTCATGGTCAACAAGAAGCCTCTTGAGCTTTGTGGGTATGTTAATAAGTGGTATGTTTTTGCATAATAAAGTAAAGCTCATGATGAGAAAGCATGCTCCTGGGAAATGATGGGATTTGGAATCTGTGTTTTGGGGTTATCTATTGGCCCTTGATCCCTGGTTTAGAAAGGGGTAACCATGAACTCCTGTATGGACAGGAGACAAGGACATTGTGGAAAAACACCTGATACCCTCTGCCATGTAACTCCAGCTCTGCTGAAACTGGACATTCCAGAATGGCAATGAACCAGAGCATACATCAACAGCGCACACACAACAGATCTTCTCAAATATCCATCTCAATCTCCAGATCTCAATCCACTCGAACGCTGAGCTTGGTCTGAGCTCAAGAAGGCATTTCACAAACAGAAACAAGTCCTCGAAGGACCTAGAACAACTCTGCCTAGACAAATGGTTCGAAAAAGTATCCTCAAAAGTGCCTGAACCTCACATCACACTATATGAGACATCATTTCAGTGAATTTGCTGCCAGAGGAGCCTTTACAAAATGCTAGATGGGTGTGAATAAATGTGACCCCTGTATTCTCTGGATTGAAATGATCTCTCACACTGCAGACTGCAGTCCTCTGAAGTATAAAGTAGAACATTTTTAGAATTTATGAAACCAGACATTATCCAATCCATTATCCATTAGACATTATCCCCACTATGTGGAAGACAGAGAGCAGAGCATGAAGCTGCCCTGCGTCTCCCTCACCTCTCCAGCAGCTGCTGCCGCTCCTCTTCTCTGGCCTGGCTAACAGCCTTGGCTCGCTCCAGGAGGCGAGATGCCTTGGCCTCCAGGTCCTCGTAGAACTCCTTCCCCTCCTGGGACTTCTTCATCAGGTCCTCATAGGCCTCATAGGAGGAGACCAGAGTCTGCACTGTGGTGTTCCACCTGAACAGAAACGTCAAGTCTTGTCACTACTGACAGCACAATATAGCATTCCGTCTCACAAGTGGAAGTCACCTCAAACTCCAGCAGTCCTTAAAGTTACCCATGACCGTTGTACATTTCATTCAATTCAGTAACAGAACAAAAAACAAAGAATCTTTCAAACGATAAGCATGTTAAGATAATCAACTGCTACTTTAATTGGGGTATACCTGTAACTTTCCCATACAGAATCAAACGCCACTGCAGGCAAATACAAGACTGAGTCCTTAGACAGGAAACAGCAGACATTCCTAAGCCTTTTTGTCTATCCCAAACATTTTGCTTTGCTGAAGCCTTCTCTCTTGCAGTGCCTGCTTACTTGCTCTCTGTGTCAGTCAGGTTCTTGCGCACAGAGGCATACTGGACGTTGGCCTCGGTCAGCGCTTTCAGGATGTTCTCCTGGGCAGACAGATTCTGGTCGATGTACACCTTGACTTGCTCATACTTCTTCAGCTGCTCTTCAAACAACCTCTGAAAGAAGAAATGGAAAGAGTTGATGTGTTTGGAAATTATCAGTGAACACCACTGGTATCCAGCTGTACCTCCACACAGCAGAGACCTTTTGTTTAATTCAGGTGCATTACAGGGGAACTGCAGTCCCATTTTCTTAGACCAGTTATAAAATCTCTCTAAAAAAATACATTTATTGGGAATACAGAAAGATTTTACAAATTAAGCACAAAATTGTGAACTTTGTGAAAGTTATGTAAGTGGCCATTTTGTAGAAAACTTGCATTCCAGTTCCCACCAACTGCGACATGATTCGGCCCTTCCTGCTCACTAGTCTCCCATATTGACTAATGTGACGTGATATAGAAGCGAATAAGTACAAGTTGTGCTACAGACATTTCACCACAGAAATGCATGCAGAGTTTACAGGTAGTATTTGTCGGCAAAACTGTCTTAATATCAAGACCAATATTTCTATTGGATTAAAAGAGATGTATTTACAAGCCTGCTTCTTTACAATGTAATAAGGCTGCATCACGTCACTGGAAGTTTTGTTACCTCGTTCTGAATCGCAGAATGCATGCCTTCATCTATTTTGTGATCTAAACTGGAAGTTTTACAAGTTACTGTGTACGTTTTAATTTTAGCATGGTTTGAAACGCACTCATCAGTGCGGATTCTTTCTTACCTAAAAGTATAAAAATAGCATTGCAGTTCCCCTTTAAATAAATCTGAACATGCAGTTAAACAGAAATGTTTCAATTTATTCATCGACACAGCTTTACCATAGCAAGTGCCTAAGTAGAAACTGACAGCACAGAAACACTGATAATTTCCAGATATTTCCAAATGCTCGTCATTCACAGTTTAAAGTAATTCAGTTTCTTTGAAGTTTGAAGAGAGGAAATCAATGGTGGGTTACAAATACCTGAAATCCTGAAAGGAACACTAGGAACACCTATCCAATGAACAACTGCAAGCTTAACAATGAAACAGACATCCAGGGACATCAAAACCAAGAGCACATTGTAAGATGAAATAAAGGAGGGACTCTGAGATTGATATTTTGTCACATCTTACAGTTTATGTCCATATCTCTTTTAAACTTGGAAGGGCTCCTGAAGGGGACAGTTTATCAGACAAGTGCAGAGCACCTTCATGTCTGCCCGGTCAGTGGTGACCAGCACGCTGGTGATGTCATCTTGCTGGATGAGCTCCCGCAGCTGTTTCTCCAGGGAGGATCGCTGCTCCCGCATCTCCGTCACCTTTCCCAGGATCCGTTTCATGGTCTGCAGGGCCGCCATATCCTCTGCACAGACACAGGCAGCTTCAACAGACACGCCCACAGAGGAGCAACAATACGGGCTCGCTCTCACACTAAAACACAGACAGTGAGAGTCCGTGCAAATCTGAGGACAAGAATACATCTCTCAGCAGGTGTGAGCCTGGTCAGTACCCGGATGAGAGACCTCCTGGGAAAAACTAAGGCTGCTGCTGGAAGAGCTGTTAGTGGGACCAGCAGGGGGTGCTCACCCTGCATTCTATGCGAGTCCTAATGCCCCAGTATAGTAACAGGGACACTATACCGTAAAAATGCGCTGTCCTTCGGATAAGGTGTAAAACCAAGGTCCTGACTCTCTGTGGTAATTAAAAATCCCAGGGCGTTTCTCTAAAAGAGTAGGGGTGTAACCCCAGTGTCCTGCCCAAATTTCCCATTGGTCCTTACCAATCATGGCCTCCTAATAATCCCCATCTATGAACTGGTTTCATCACTCTGCTCTTCTCCCCACTGACAGCTGATGTGTGGTGAGTGTACTGGTGCACTATGGCTGCCGTCGCATCATCCAGTTGGATGCTGCACATTGGTGGTGGTGGAGGGGAGTCCCCATTACCTGTAAAGCGCTTTCAGTGGAGTGTCCAGAGAAGCGCTATATAAGTGTAAGAAATTATTAGATCGGAGCTAAACTGATTCTATAACCTAAATATAGACAGAACCTAATGCCCATCTTAAATTTACAGACTTTCCAACCCCTCCTTTGATCTCCACTGCTGCTGGACACTACGGCCCTCAGGCTGCGGCCTCACCCTCGCTGAGCTGCGGGCTCGGCAGGGCGTCGCGCAGGCTGTCCAGCGGCCCCCCCAGCAGCCGCAGGTTGTTGATGTGCAGGTTCATGGCGCGGTGCAGCTCGGTGTTGGTGAAGCTGGCCTTCTCGTGGGCCTCCAGGTACTTGTCCAGATCCCGGCGCAGCTCGGCCAGGACCGGGGGCGCGGGCGGGAAAGCCTGCTTCCCCAGGGCCTCCTCCAGGCGGGCCTCGCGGGCCTCCTCCTCCTCCAGCAGGTCTCGGATCTCCTGCAGCGAGGCTGCCACGTCCGTGAACACGCCCGACAGCACTGAGGAGAGAGGGCCCCAGCCAGAGGGCACCGGTTAGCTGAGACACGGTTACAACCCACTGCTGAGGGCGCCGCACAGCATTTCAACTGCCTGAATCGCTCGTCAGAACATCAGAACGCCGCCATGTTGCAAATTCCAGCCGGGTACATGATATGAAGTAGTTTTTTAGAGGGCTTTCAAATTCATACAGTGCCATGAAAAAGTATTTCCTGATTTCCTCTATTACTGCAAATTTGTGACACTGAATATTTTCAATATTCGATAAAGGGAACCTGAGTGAACAAATAGCACCTTTTTATTATTATTTCATTTATTTAATAAACAAACTTATCCAACACCCATATCCCCCCTGTGTGAAAAAGTAACTGCCCCCTTACACTTAGTAACTGGCTGCGCTATCGTTAGCTGCAATGACTGCAACCAAACGCTTCCTAAAATACAAAGTATTTTTTCACGGCACTGTAAATTTAATCTCAAATTAAAAGGATGAAAGGAAATGAGCAATATATGCAAGAAGAATTAATAGCAAGAAGGACACAGAGAAACAGAAACAGGACGAGGTAAACAGTGGAACAGTGGATGGATCAGTTCCAACGTTTATCAAGAAGCTAGACCACCTCACTGTTCTTGGATATGTGATTTTCAAACATATTACATATTTTTTAAACTAGATATTACTTGCTTATTGCATTATATAGCTGTACTTGCATTACACTGCATTCATTATACCTGCGTTTAGATTGAAAATGTGGTTGTTTTGTGACTGTAGCTAATTCCCTTTTGTTGTAGAGTACAATATTCAACAAATTTCCCATTTGCAGGGATATTTAGGTCCGACTCCTTACAGAAGAAGATATTTTCCTGTAATTAGCAAGTTAAATACATTTAAAGAAGACACCACACACTGTTGTAGATGTAGCAAAAATGGAATTAAGAGTAATTTACATGCGAATGGACTTACACAGCAAGAATGGGCAGACAAGGCAGAGAAGAGACTATTGGCAAGAAATAACAGATAACAAATGCAGGTACTGAGGGTTAAAAGGATCTAAAAGGTCCTAGGTGTTAAAGCTGATTTATGTCTTGGACAATGTCTAGACAGGGCCAACAGTGCTTAAATATACTATAAAGTTTTGACTGCAGATTAAGTGTGTCAATAGGAAAACTATATAAATCACTTGCATATTCACAATACACAGTTTAATTCTGAACGCTGTGCTATGCAAAAGTCACTACTGCACTGGAAAGAGCTTAAAATGTTTACAATGACATTAATTCTATGGAGTGAAAAGTGCGACGTGTGCTGAAAGACCTCAATCTTTTAGGCCAGCCACAGAAACAACTTTATGGCAATGATTCAGGTGTCCAAAATCCTGAAAGGAATTTCACTAAGTTAAGCTACAGAACTGGTCCAAGCAAATCGGGGAGAAAAATGAAAGGGGCTGCTACAGAAACCAAGAGGCGAGACAAATGGCAATTAAAAGGCTTACACCATACATCAGGCAGCTTGTGGTGTGCAAAACCTAGCTAGCAAACACAGATGCTGAATCAACGTATGGGTTGGCGCTGTTCCAGTGCCCTAGCTGCAATGTGACAGAGTGGGTGGCACTCCAGTGCGATCAAGCTCACCCTGCATGGACTGGATGAGGCTCTTCACCGTGTCGGGCCGCACACTCAGAGCAGCGCACTTCTCCATGAGCACAGGCGGGATGTGGCTGTACATGTCCAGGTTGTCCACTGTGTCGGGGTCCAGCCGCAAGGAATCCATGAACTGTCTGCGTGGGCAGAGGGAAGCAGACATGTAGAGACACAAACCAGCACACCGAGATGGAAGGATGTGGAGACAGATCACTTCCATATCCTGCCCTGCAGCATAAAGAGCTTCTTATTTTGGATTCTCAGCCAGGAAATCAGACTGAGACCACAATTAGGATTTGCCGCGATGGGGAAGACTATGTTAGCTTTTCTGTATGTACAGCACTGCAATACATAACTCAGAACATGCTCACACACACAGAAGAGATTTTCTGTGCCATATGTGTTTCAGAAGGCTATGATCCTGTGACGTATGTTGTGTGCAGCTGTGTAAGAAGGTCCACTGTTAACTTGAACCCCTGCAGAAGAGCTGTCTGCACTCACTCGAGAGTCTCGTTCTTGCTCTCAATCTTCGCCATCACATCGCGCAGCAGTTTGGCCTTCTCCTCACTGATGGGAAGAGAAAGACAGATTTAGAGGGAAAGGGGGGAGGGACTGCAGAGAGCACAGCATAAAAAAAGTTCACATACATAAAAGAGTGACTTCAAATTCTACCGAATTATCCAGGCAGGCAGACCCCAGAGACTCTGCCGCCCTGCTCCTTTGCCTACCTGTAAAGAGAGGAGGCCTCATGGGCTGCCATGGGAACCAGCTTGGAAAATATATCAGGACCAGTGACGCTGGGGTCGGTGGGGTTCACAGGCAGAGCCTTCACCAGCGGGGCCCCTACAAGAAGAGAGCAGAAGTTTAAGCTTTCTATTATGAACCAAAAGGATAAAGCAGACATATCCCTGATTCGGCAAGATTTGTAAAATACAAAAAAAATCAGAAGAGACCATTCCTAGTAGCACTAGACGTTAACACAAATTCCGTAGAAGTGAAATCTAGTAAACTAACAGTAGACACTTTTACTGTTGCTTTTTTCTTATTTTATAAGATAATGTTTAGAAAAACATTTTTTTAACTTTTTATAGAAGATGCACATATTCTATGAAGTTTTAACAAATTAAATCTGATATTAGATTTGTACAGAGAGGCACAGAGTGCCAGAAGTCCTTGAAAGCATACCTTTGACAGAGGGCAGGGTGTCCAGGGCTGGCACGGACTCGTGGTATATGAAGTCGTTGTCCTTCTTGGCAGAGTTGAATCTAGGGAGAAAGGCCATGGACATAAGAGGGAGACCCTCAACAGGGGAATAGGGCTGCACCCATCAACTACAGAGTTAGTGAGTACCCAATACCTACAGTAGTACACCAAAGGCCTGAATTTGCAAACGTGGTAAAAAAGGTTTAATAACAATTAATTTGCTTATGTATTGCAATTTATCAAATTAACATTCAACCATATGTTAAAGTATGTTGAGTCTTTTGAACATTTCCATTTTATTTAATGATTGTCTTAAATAAATGCTGACTTTAATTTACACCCCATCAGTGCTAGAAAACTCTGGGAAACCATGCCACGTGAATGCACAAACTGCTTTTCTGCTTTGCCCCGAGCAGTTTCTTCTGCCATTTTTAACAGGGTGCCTGGTTACAAAGGAGTTGCACAAGCACCCTGCCACGCGCTGCACGATGTGTTTGCGCTGACCTGTGTGCAGCGAGGGGATCAAGGTGAGTTTACAGCCCAGCTACACTATACTCCCATTTAAACAGCTCTGATCTGCACACACCACAGGAAGTGGTCTGCAGTCAAAGCCCCCCTCCAGGCACCCATTGCCTGGTCCTTCAGTGAACTGTGGTACCTTGCTGTCCTGCCTGGAGGACTGAGTCCCCTTGTGAGGGGAAATAAAGTACAGGTGAGTGACTATGCTAGAACTGCCTGGGAGACTCAGTGGTTTGTCAGCTGTCAGTCCCTTCCCAAAACTGCAGAAAGATGATACACCCACAACTCACTGACCCACATCATGTTCTCTCTTTTGTTGAAGAGTCACACAACAACCTCACACAGAATCTACCATTACACCAGTTCTAGTACACACATTGGCCTGACACCATAGAAGAGTAAGGAATGAGTCTTACTTTCCTCCAATGACATCCATGGTGAACCTCAGGGCATCCTGCACGCTGTCAGGCTGACCCTACTCCGGAGGAAAAGGTCAGTAAGTAACATTCACTACTTCTCTCTTAAGGGGTGGAGAATGTCTTTTTAAATCTTTATCGATAAGAAAGTGCTGCAATCAAAACAGACTACACGGATAATATTTTATAATATTTCTGCCCAAGAGCTCATTTACAACATCGGCACGTCGTAAATGAGTTCTCCACACATTATCCTCATAAGACACAGCCCTATACACCACTGACCAATATCGGAATTTAACAGCTGGTTGTCTGCTGGTGAGGCAACAAGTAAAGGATACATCCAAGCTAAATTGTAGGAAGAAAAAGCTCCAGCTGTTGAGGCTTCTTCAGGTTTGGAAGCTGGATTGCTTGATAGTTTATTGTACAACACTGATATCTTTGCTGCTTTACAGACTGGTCTGTGTGTGGTTAGCAGGAGAGAGTGCGCTACCTTGGCCAGTTTCACTGCTTCGCTCAGCTTGTCCAGAGCACTCTGCAGGTACGCCAGCTGCACAGAAACACACCACAAGTTCACACTGAAAATGCTTTCAAAGGAGATTCTCTGATAAACCATCAAAAGGCCACAATCCGGAAAAAGAAATACTGTATACATCGGCCTGTGAGGCAGAAAACCAAATACAGTGTGCCAGTCCTGTGGGGGCAATATTACTAACATTGCCAGCTGGATCTATACATCTTTTTAAGGATTGAAATACAGTTTAAAAAAAGCACTAAAATGTAATGGATATTGAAATACAGTAGGGTCTCAACAGTGGCAAGTGTTTGGTGCAGAGAACCGTTGAAAAAAGCCAAATTCTCATATCACCTTATACCATCACATAATTCAGTATTACAGTATACAGTATGTGTGGTTAAAATTACTCTACCTTATATGATTAAGTACTAAAGCACTGGTTTTGAGGTAGGTAAAGTAACATTGATCAACTAAAAGAAACAACAGTAGTCACATAGTAATCAGCTAAAATAAACAATAGGATTCTCTCCCTCTGCTTCCAGAAGATGCCTGCAATTCTCTGCCTCCATGATTAGCACACTCCACTGAAACGAAAGGGCAATAAAACTGTGAGCCTCACTTCCAGCCTGTCATTCCCTGTCAGGGGGCAGGGAGAGTCTCACTCACTAGCTAGAGCTGTCTCTATCCTTGCGTGCTACACTGCTAATTTGAAAGTTACCCTTAACAACCTTCAGCTGGGTCTCATCCCGCTCTGCTCGTGTTCAAGACTGTCAGACCAGCCAAACCTTGTACAGGCGAATTCCCAAACGTTGAATTCTCAGATGTCGAGAACGTATAAACCACTCAGGATCATATCTAGCTGAGATCATAACAGACAAATCTGGCAAACCTCTCCTACTACAAAAAGTTTTTACATCCTGATTCTGATAGAGTCTTGTGTTTGCTATGACTCCTAGTGTACATTCCTACTGAGCTTCAATTGACTTTCAATACATAAACAGCTAAAGATTTTGAGGTGTAAAACTACTGATAATTTTTAAGCCAAAGGATAAAACAACTTAGCGAGACCTGGGGCTCAGGTCTACCTGACCTTGACTGTTTAAACCATTCGTTGAATAAAGATATTGTTTAGGGAGGTGCACACTCATAGTCAGCAAGAGATTATAGACGAGATCAAATAGAGCCACTGGCAAAGAGACGTACCCTCTCTCCATATTTCTGCTGCTCCTCTGCCTGCTTGCCCATGTGGAGCTGTAAAGAAATGTTTTTTAAGAAATTCAGCTTTTACATATGATGCCACATGACGCCACAATAACAAAGTACTTCTCAAGCAACCTGATTCCATCCCCACTCTGACAAAAGCACAACACAGACGAGTTACCAGCCAAAGCCTAATGCACCCGGCTGCTGCCACCCACGAGCTCACAGTCCGCTGTGTCCAGGTGGGTCCCAATCTAACTTGGACGCCCAAACCTCGCCGCAAGTGGACAGGGCAATCTTACGTGTGCAATCGCAGCAAAATAGTAGATTTTCATCTGCACCAGCTTCTTCCAGTCCTTCTGGATCTTCCCCAGCAGGGAGGCGGTATCTGAGTTCTCCAGAGCACGGCAAGCCTCCTTGTAATAATCCACCACCTGCGCGAAGCACAAGGAGTCAGAAGACATCCCCCTCCCACAGTGGAGCCTCAATGACAAAGAGCACGTCCTGTACAGGGTTAAGACTGCCCACACCCTGCAGCTGAGGGAAGAGCATAAAAACGAGAGGGGGCCACTCAGCCCATCGAGCCCAGTTGGCGGTTCTCAGGATCTCATCCAGCTGCTTTTATCCATGTAAAATTGAGGCTGAGTGAAAAGAGCGAGACTGGAACGAAGTGACTTAGTTCAATCAGACCAAAGCAGAGATCTGTGACAAATCAGGACCCAATCAGGACCCTTCTGGTCGACTGAAACATTTAGTGAATTAAAAACAGCAAGCCAATTTTAACCCATGTTATTAAAAGCCATTTTAAAGTCAAATAAACGATGTGATCGTGTTCGGTCACATCAAACAAAATTTAGAATGCTGAGTGTCGTAGCTCGGGAGTATGTGTATATCAAGTTAAAATATAGTTAATATATACATATACCCTTTCTAACACAACATTCATGGACTTCTAAAGACCATGATGACACCTTTCAAGGACAGAATTTAAAGTGTTTGATATCCTTTTTAAAAGCAATATCAACAAATCATAACAGTGAAGCTTTTGCAATAGGACGATTTCATTAGAACAAACCGTAACACTTTCTGTGCTTTGTTTTGCGTTTACAAAACGAAATATAACAAAATATGCAGTTTCGACCCCCCCCCCATCCAGATGGATGTTACAGCACCCAAAATGAGATCCAAAAATGTTCTCCAGCTTGTAGCCCAGCCTGGAGGCTCGTCTTGAATGGCCTACAGGGTCTGTTTCCTGATAGGCATGTGTTTCCTGCCTGTGTGCCATCAATACTCAAGGAACACACTAGGACAAGCATTATTTTAAAATTTAAACACTACAAGTCACATATAGGTAAATATCTGTACATTTCATTTTTCTTGTTAGACAGAATATTTCTCAATAAATATCCTGTCACACACTGTATGTGGCATGACATAATATTTGTTGTACTTAACACACACCAAAATATCGCTACCTTTCTCTGCAAATCATCCCTAACGTTCATTATCACTACCTCTGTTCCAGTTTTCTAAAGCTTTTTGGGGATCATGAAAAAAAAAAGGACACTGGCAGAGAATGAGTTAAAATAACATTCCCAGAATGCTAAAAATTACAATGAGACATTGCAAATACAAGTACTTTCTTGTAAGAGGCTGGGGTGGACCTACCTGGGCACTGATACGGGCAACAAGAAAACTCTTTCTGTTGTCCAGCATGGACTTCTCCAATAGGCACTCCTGAGCCTGGCCCTGACATGCACAGAACAGAGGTCAGAGGAAAGGAAGGCTCTGTTAATCTCACAGTACACTCACACATAAGAACACACCACGTGGCTCAATAACTTTACTTCAGTCCCATTTACGTAAAACATTTACCTAACTGTACTTCTGATGCCACACCTGGTTTGGATATAAGGGAGCACAGCAGAGATGCAGGTGCTCAGACCGAGAGCTTGAGTCTTACCAGCATGAGGTTGATGTTGAGGTTGAGTATCTGATGACTCATGTCCACACTGAAGTTGTGGCTGAAGTGGTCCCGCAGGTAAGAGAAAGCCCCAGCTGAGCACTGGAAGTGCGTACAAGACACCTTCATGCCCTGGCAAGACACAACAAAACCGAAGGAAAAAGAACACAAGGTCAATGAAAACGGATGTGGGGGGGAGACACACAAAGACACGTTCAGAGAGAAGAGAGAGACGGGCAATGGGACAGCGCTGACTCATTTAAAGCAAGAAGAAGAGTCAAGGAGACCCTTCAGATAAGCACAGCACAAACTGTAAAACCCACGCTACCTTAACCATATGGGAACTGCACACAACACTTGCTGAAATGCTATAGTGTAAGTGTGGCATAGTTCAGCGAAGGCAATGAGGCTCTGAGGCCCAGCTCACCTCCTCCGACACCCTGTTGTCCATAGCTCCCAGCATGGAATGCAGAGCCCCTGGGGGAAAGCACACAATGTTAATAATCATACAGCTAATATATAATTTCCCCAAATGACTCCAGTGTGCAGTGCACTTACCCAATTAAAGGAGTTGTTTCTTTTGAGGTATAAGATTTTGTATTATACTGCACTGACTACCTATAGTATTAATTCTGATCTGTGGCAAAAGCAACATCTTGTAGTTAGACAACAGCACATAGTGGATACCTGTGTGACATTAGATATATAATTATCCTCTGCTTTTTGTCTGCTCATTTTGATGTGGAAGTGCTGCTGCAACTGACAGCAAATGTTAGTTAGCAGCTGCAAAAGGATCTCGTGATATCCTCGTAGCTAAAGGGCCCCACATACAAAATATCTTCAGGCACAATGTGACAAAGATGAGTTCCTGCTGCCTTCTGCTCACCTAGGTTATAGAGGATACAAGCCTGCTCGTAGCTGATGTCATCATGAGTAACTGTCTTTCCAGAGAAGATTTCGGTCCTGGAAAAGACACAAGCATACATCAGACAAAGGACACCCAGAAATAGGGTACAACACAGGGTTTCCATCATCATCATCATCTTCATCAGGCACGAGCACCACACAGTGCCTGAACACAACAGGCTGCACCAGGAGCTCTGCAGCGGCCAGTGAATCGCAGAACTGCGCTGGGGTTTTTGTAGGTACAGCGCAAAATAGCTGCCTCAAGGTGAGTCCAGCACAGGAGCTCAAAATGTGAAGTGCCCCAAAACACTGCACAGAAGTTTAAAAGAATACAGGGCATTCAAATCAGTAGTGGTGCCTGAATACCTTTAGGAAACATCATTAACATAACGCCGTACCATTAGAATTCATGTATTCATTCGAATTGCTGCCTTGCAGTGCGGTGAACCTGGGTCTAATTACTGGGGTGCTCTCCACGTGGAGTTTGCATGTTCTCCCTGTGTTTGGGTGCGTTTCGTCCGGGTGTGACGGTTTCCTCCCACAGTCTAAAAACATGCTGGAAGGTTAACTGGCTCCTGGGAAAACTGGCCCTATCGTGAGTGTGTGCATGTTTGTATCTATGCGCACCCCGTGACGGACTGGTGTCCTGTCCAGGGCGTACCTTGCCTTGCGCTTGCTGCCTGCCTCCCCTGAAGCCTGGACTGCAAAAAGTGGTTAGAAAATGGATGGATGGATGAAGCCATACCCTAATAAGCTTGGTAAAGTAAACATGAGTTCAACTCTTTACTATTTTTGAAGAGTAAGCCAACAGCACATCTCTAGAAAGGCAGGATTTAGCCCTACCAATCTGCTGGAGAGTCCAGACTGCAGTAAAAAGTTGGGGTTAGGCAGGGGGACACGAGCTGGGGGCAGCTATTCACTCACCAAGAGATGGGCACGGCGGCCTCCTGTCCGGAGCCCATGGGTACTCGGCTCTGCAGGTAGTGCAGCTGGCCGAAGTACTTGCGGAGAGTGCTGCAGCCCTCGAAGTCCCGCGTCACGTTCACCGCCGCCTGCCGGAGACACACACGGCACCCGTCACGCACACTGCACTGCAACGCGCGCCTCAAAGTGTGCTCGTCCTACCCCACAGTAGGGAAATAATGTGCTCCGATTCTACTGCTTTATTCGGAGGAACACAACGGGTCATTCTCACCCACAGTGCTCACTTTACCGAAACACTAATGTAGCTGCTCTAACGGATTCACAGCCCAGGTGAGAGGACTGATCTGCAAAGGCCTGTCCAGCCACCGAACTTGCCTGTCTGAGCTGCTCCAGTTTCTTCAGCTGCTCGTTGTAGCTGTCAGGGTTCTCCCCATAATTCTTCAGGATGAACTAAGGAGAGAGAGAGAGAGCAAAGAAAGACAAGCCTTTTAGCTCCCAAACCCTCCTCTGCCAGGAGAGAGGGACAGATTATTAGTATTAGATGGTTTTAGCCACCAACACATACCCTGACGTCAACTTCAAGCACATTTCCCTTCCAATAAACAGCAAGCACTACTCCTCATCTGCGCTGGCAAGAAACAACAAGTTCTCTTCTCCATTTAGTGATATGTCCTTGACTTTCACATAATCCAACAAACCAGGGAGAGGCTGAGAAAATATATTTGTCAGGTTTGAAATAATTGCAATTGCACTCTCAGTGCATTCATGACCCCTGAATGCAGCTAATGCAGTGAGGTTAAAATTACATAATAAGCACTGTGAAAAGGCAAATAAAAAATACAATTTCAGGCATGACTGGAACCTCCCCTGGAAATCACTGACCTTGTTAAGCTGGAAACATAAATACAGTTTACTGAAATACTTGCACTGAATCAGGGAGATATGTCCTGCTCCTGCCGACAGGCAGACACAAATGCACAAATGAAATTAAGTACAAAAACGGTCTGGGCATAAAAGAATAAAAATGAAAAAAGAAATCACATGGGGTTAGGGTATGACACAGGACTGAATGAAAACTGAACTTTGAAAATATATGCGAATATTTTTATTAAGTGACCTGATACAGTAGGACTTGTTTGATGAAACATTCAAACCTGTATTTTTTTTTTGCAAAAATAAATTTGAACACAACTCTAAATTACTTACAAAGCAAATGCAAACATCACACATCATTTGACAAGTCTTCATGCTGCCCGATAGAGGTGTTAATACAGTCCTCCCTGACTTTCTGGGTCATTTGCAGTTCTGATTGCGTTGTAGTAGTTAAACTGACAAGTATACAGTCTCTCAGCTACACCTATGCTTTACACTAAAAACAAAGTATGATAATGTCTCGGTCTCTGCCAGCCCCTCCCAACCTGGGTGCTAGAGCCCCAATCCAGTTAGTCTTTAGAGATTGATGATTTAATGATGATCTACAAAATCTGTTGGATTGGGGCTCTTCAGGGCTCGGGCCGAAGATCCATACTTTGAGACCACCCACATGACAAAAATCTGATTTGTTAAACTGCGACACTTTCCACACAGTGCACTGGGTCATGGAGCATGACAGTGATGCCATCAGATTACTCCCCAGTACAAAGGCCGTGACATCAGCAAACCAGTCAGAGCGAGCGAGAGAAGAAGGCTGTGCTGACTGCCCAGCCCAGCCTCTCTGACTGCCACTGCACTGTCTCACCGCTGCTGAACCAGGCTTGCACAATAAATACTGAAGTTTCTCTTGGGTTTTCATTAAGCCTGTGCAACAGAATTTATCATGAAACATATACAAGTAAAACCCTCCAGCTCCAAAATGAAAGAAAAAAACATAATCAAATAAATCAGCACACTACGCTAAAGGGGAAATCGCTGTAAAAAGCAAGACAATGAGTAAACATCATCAACGTGAGCAGTATTCTCAAGTGCTGCGTACTGGAGCAGCCCCAGTCATGTGGCTCTGACTAAGCAGTCCACATTCCTCTCAGCAGTCACCTCTACCAGGAGGGGAATAACAGATACCCTAGCAATGACACCAGGAACTGGTTTTGATCTTCAATCTCTATTAAGAATCACCTGGATAGAAATCACTGGATGTCATTCAGCCATTCTTTATTGATGAACACAAAGAAAATCACACGCAAACCATTTATTTTACCCGAGCGATTCCACATTTGTTTTACGTGTTATCAAACACCACACCGGCAAAGGCAGAACAGCGGATGACAAGGGGAGATTAAGAGTAGATGCATTCGGGCTCAGCGTTAATAACGATAAATAATGGTGGTTGATTGATGGGACTACACAGAATTTTAAGAGACAAACATTTTGCAGTATGAAGCTGACAGGCTCATTTGGTGGGAAGAGACACCCCACCCTTCCACAGAAGACCACTCAATCAGCTAGTCTAACTGACAAAGGGACAAGTAGCCTAACCCACAGTGCCAGAGCAGCACAGAAACACCACCACTCGCGCACGTTTCCCACAGCCAGCTCAGACTTTTCAACCAAGGAGAGGGTCCTGACCAGCACTAACAGACACAGTCACAGTCTCATCTATTGGGTAATTTCAGGAGGCCTGACAAAGCCAAGAGATACAAGACATACAACTTGGGATTTAACAGACAACGTGGTATCTCCCTTCTCCTATGTTTCACAATCATTAACCTCTCCCAGGTACTCTCTTTCTCATTTTGGAAAAGTAAAGGGATTTAGATACTCCTTATTACATTTACTTTGTTCCATCTATTTTTTCTGTTAGCAGCTGTGACTGACTGGAAAAGGGATTTGAATGTTACAGTTGAAGAGATTTCCCACACGACAATTCCCACAAGAATATAAATTCAGCATCCACAGGTCCTCATCTTTGGATGATCCACTGAAATGTTCTAATGGACGCCATTCACGGGATCTGATGATAGGTACCTTTTAACCTGGTCATGGGAGTGATCGCGTCTTAGCAACATGAGGTTTCTACCCCCTTGTCTACTTTTCTTGACAAGGATGTATTTTTATTGAAGGCTGATCGTATCACTCGTAACCTCTCGCAGAAGCAGAAATTGGTTGGCTCACGTGATCACGGCCAGAAACATATTACACATGGAGTCCCCCCACTCCCTCTCTGGCAGAACTGTATCTTGAATTATCTTGGTGTCATTTAAATGGAGCTGTCTACTGCATATGTGGAACCCTGGAATGTTGTTAAACATGTGGTCAAACCCTTATTGGGGTGGTACGGTGGCTCTGTGGCTAAGGATCTGTGCCTGTGGCTGGAAGGTTGCCGGTTCAAATCCCACGGCTGGCAGAGGAATCCTACTCTGTTGGGCCCCTGAGCAAGGCCCTTAACCCCACCTGCTCCAGGGGTGCCGTATAAATGCCTGACCCTGCACTCTGACCCCAAGCTTCTCTCCCTGTGTGTGTGTCAGTTGGACAGCAAGTTGGGGTATGCGAAAAGACAAATTCCTAATACAAGAAATTGTATATGCCCAATAAAAGGGATCTTATATTATCTTAGATCTAATTCTTATTGCGCAGTACTTCTACCATAGTGGCCTGATTTTATTTTCTGTATTCTTTGGTCTGAAAGTCAGTTCACTATTCAAATTATGCACTAATCCACTCTTGTGTCTCGAAAAACTAAAACTAATAACATATGGTTTTACCCTGCAGTCTTGAAATGCATTACTTTTCTTAGATTTCGTTTGCCTGTCTTACACACTTTGTAACCATCTGAAACTTCATTTTGAAGTGCTATTTGTAACAAGGAATTGCACTACAGAACTTGTGTTTAAAAGGTTTACAATCCCTTCAGACGGACAACAGTCACAGAAAAGATTTTTTAATATGTTAAATCAGATCTTTGAACATCGTCAAAGCACATTTAAGCAATATTCGATTTTGGCACTAGGGATTCAATTCAAACTCAAGACAAGACAGTTTAAAATTTAAAATTTAAAAAGAGGAAAATGGACAGTAACCAAGCTGAAGAATTAGATGGGAAGGAGTAAAAATATAGTATTCCAGAGACAGAGAAATGAAAAGCCAGTTATTTGATGCAGATCTCTTTCCACTTGTTCAAACACAGCAATGTATGCAGAGCTGAACAGCTTTTGAGATTTGCCTATCCAATCAGGGGTACTACACAGAAACAATTCTCATGCTCTTTGTGCTGATGGAGCACAGAGTTCTTGATGACACTGAGGCTGGCTCGCCTTCCTATCTAACCAGTAACAGCAGCACTGAAAGTACAGTGAGGGAAACGTTATGTGACTGCAGACACATTGAAAGAAGATTTCACAGACATACTCCACTGCAACCAGATTTTCCAGCACTGAGCAGGGCACATGACACAGAGATCTGAGGTTCGAAGTGTGATCAAGACTTGAAGGTTTGAAGTGTGATCTTCTGCAGAGTCTGAATCTGGACAGCTCAGGGCAATTTCCGACTAAGGACACAGGACAGTGAAACCCATGTGGTCAGGGCATCAGACATTCAGACGGGCAGTGGTGATCTGTACGTGCATCTGTGCGGGGTGCTTTGATAACCTGCCTGATATTGTGGTAAATTTCAATAATAAATGCAACAGAAGTAAAATAAAAAAAATCTACCAGTGTGTAGAAAAAAATACTGTGGGAAACTTTATTATATTTTAGATTTTTATCCCAAGGCTTGCAATCTGTGTCCATTTACTTAGCAGTGTTGTTCATATTTGTCATTCTATGTTATAGAGGCACAGTGCACATCTGTGACTCCACACAACTCTTTTACATTTAAATGTGGGGATTGAATACTTATGCAAACAGCATATTTCATTTTTTCCCTTAAGAATAGTTTCTAACATAAAACAATGTCACATTAAAATAATTAATTTTGAGTTTCAGTGCTTAGAAATAAAACTATCACGGAGAACTAAATTTCAATGTAGGATTTGTAATTCAGTAAAATGAGAGAATTGGTCAAGAGTCTCATACAGTACAGGTCTCGTGCTTCAGAATGGTTAACTTCTCTACCTTTAACCCTCTGGGTAGCCACAAAACACTAACTCACAAACATTAACCACAGTGTGTCATACACGCGTCTGATTGATTATTATTATTTTAAAAAGAGAACGAGAAGCACTAGTGTACACACAGGGTGGTAGGAGTGTGGAACACACTACCCACCCATGTTGTTGAAACTGAAACCCTGGCTTCTGTCAAGAAATGGCTGAGATATACCACATGGGCTAGATGGGCCAAACTGTTTGTAAGGTGACATCACCTCAAATTCCAGTTCAACAATGCAGACAGGCACGCTCTGTTTCTAAGACCTCTGGGAGGACGTTTTGAATATGTTAAAATATGTTTGAAATGTTCCTGCCTGCTGAAAAAGAAGCTGTGTCACCAGTGTCAGCTGAGACATTGTGACAGCATGCCATTGTAGGCCAGACACCTGGAAAAAAAGGTTTGGGCCTATTCTCCAATTCAGAACTCACACAGAGAACGATTTCATTTTACTTTCACACTATAAAAATAAAAATATTCCAGCTTCTTACAGAATTTGACTTTCTTTTTGACTCGCAGTTTTGGAACAAAAGACATCTACAGCCTCGTGCATTGCTCAGTCTAGCAAGTTCACCTGAGAAGACAGCTACAGCAATCTCTTGCTCAGTCTGTTGCCAGCTGAACAGAAGGCCTTTAACTTTCTGTAGATCAAGCTGCACAGCTACTCGGATTCCTGATCACAGTTCGAAACTGCAGGGAAAACCAGCTATCAACAGATCACAGAAAGAGCTGAGAACTACTAACAGGCACAAGCAGCTAAATAAGGTTCTGAGAAGACTAGTGATGAATCATGAAAACAATACCTGGGACAATATTGTTTCAATTAAATTATTTAATTGGGGGGTCATTAATGAAATATAAGAAGAACAAAAGACTCAACAGTTTCAGTTGGACTTTCCTAGACTGAGACTGACGAAGCTTTAAGTTAATTTCACTTCTCTTCTTCTGGAGCTGCCCAGATTGGGCTGGGGTACGTGTTCATTTTTGGACTTGAACACCTGCGAGTGACAAGAGTCATCGACCTGTTCTTCAAGACAAAGTACTGTTCAAGACACAGTCGCACACGGTGACCATTAACCAAGATCCAGAAGCACAAGGTGGAGACACAGGCGTGTGTAGACTGGGAGGGGGGCAAAGAGTCAAAACACTCCCTGCTCCGATCAACAGACATTTCATGCCGGGCCTCGCTGTCTTAGCAATAGATCGCACGGAAACTCTGTTACCGCACCGAAGGAAGCAATGCACTACACCCGTGTTATTCCTAGAGGGTGGCTTGATCGTGCCTGCGCAAATTCTGCGAGTGCACGACTACCGTTCCAACCCAAGCAACCCTCCCCGCCCCGTTCTCACCTGCCTGACGGATGGACTGAACTGAAAGTCCCCGGCTTCCTTTAAATCCAGCCATATCATGGGCATGCGGGGCACTGCCTCCATCCCGGTCGAGATCGACGTTCAAGTAAACGGGGTACTTCTGTTTTCTTTATTCCGCACTATCTATTTATTTAAGGAGTTATTGTTATTGTTTTCATCCGAGCTCTCCCGACTACCGTGTCATGTCCCATTTACACTCCTACAGGAAATCAGGGAAACCACGGAAATTACGGCATACAGGAACTTCCTATTAGACGCATGGCTTTGTGGGGTATGTAGTTCTTAATAATTTACCTGTGGCTTTCACGTCGAAAAAGTTCCTACATTGGAATATATGTACTGTATGTTTTATTTTGTTAATACAGCTCTAGTTTTAAGATCAGCATCTCTCATAAAAAGATGTAGTCGAATTGGATTATCTGATCAGTTATTTAAGACTCTAAAAAATATCAGAAAAATTAAAAGGCCATTTAAAAGGTCCAGTAATCTTTTTATAATTTCAAAATGAATAACAAACATTTTTTCCCAAAACATTTTTTTAATTTATTAAAACTAATTGTAATAAATATAAAAGCACACTCAGTCACTTTTTGCTGATGGAAAACTACACAGATCACTGTTCTCAGAACCACACTAATTTTGCTTGTACCAAACACTCTGTTGGTTGGTTTGCTCAATTGTCCTTTTCAATGAATTAGCAATTCCCATTACTAATAAGTGACAGGTAAAGATTTTTCTTTTCCTTTTAGCATGGAATAAACATTTACCTGTAACTTTGCAGCCTACACATGCTGACGCAGCCACCTACTTGAACTTCATTAATAATGATATTTCTTCAGTCTTTTACTCTTTGTAATTTTGCAAGTTATCTCTTGTTAAATTGCTCTAGTTGATTCTCAAAGTTCAATCCCCCATATTAAAACAACTGAAACGTTTTACTATACATTATTGCAAAGAGCTGAATGTGTATGCAAATTTTCCTTTCCATCACATCTTTTAACAAGCTAAAAGAGCTATGTCTTAAAGGACAAATTTAGTAACTTTTGCCAGCTCTTCAGATGCTGCTGATTTAAGGAGAAGAGACAGAAAACAGGTGTAGATACATCACCTCTCCAGGACCAGGACTGGACACTGTTTTGATCACCTCTTCCGAGATAAACATTGCAAATAAAGATTCGATAGATAATAAACATGTTGCACCTTTACTGTGTCCACTATTTTATTTTGGAAATTTTTACACTCTAACACAATACAACATCTGGTGAAAAAGCATTTTACTGAATCACATCAATTACATTTTTACCAAGCAATGTTGTGTCATGAGTGCAGTACGAAAATAACAGTACAATTCTGAATAAGTAATTCAGGCTACAGAGACATAGACACGTTTCAGATTACATACATAAACAATACAATATGTAGTTGCTACAGTACTTCAGATTACACAGACACAAAAATACAAAATGCAGTAACTATTTCAGATTACACAAACTCAAACAATGCCCCCCTGCCCACAAAAAGAGAAGGAATAGGGTACTATTCTATAAGTGCCTTATTTACTAACAGGAGAATGGGATCCCATGGCACTGTCCTTAAGATTAAGGGTGCTAACCCCAGTTTCCTGGCTAAATTCCACTTTGGGTTTACATGACCTTCCTAAATTTTCCCATTCCATGCAATTGATGTAGTAGTTTCTCACTTCTCCACCTGATCTGTGGTGCAGTGGGACTGCTGGTGCAAAATAGCTGCCATATGTTGCCCAGGCAGGGCTGTAATTCTGTGGTGGTTGATGGAGGTCCCTGCCTATATGGGAAGTACTTAAAGATTCTCTGGAATGAAAAGTGCTGAACAAATACAAAAATGTATCCTTAATTATTATATGAGGGAAACACACCCTAATAAATGGAGAAAAGCTACAGTTTTTTTTTTAATGTGTAATTCCAAGTAGCACTGTGGCGCAGTGGTTAGCATTGCTGCCTCACAGCTCTGAGATCCTGGCTTTAACTCCTGGGATGCTAGTTTGCATGTTCTCCTCTATGAGTTTCCTCCAGGTGCGAGTTCCCTCCAAGTGCTCTAACCAAAGTACAAAAACATAACTGGTAGTTCAATTGCCTTCTGTAAAACTGGCCCTTGCGCGAGTGTGTGTGTCTGTGTTTGTGTGTGCCCCTGTGATGGACTGGCATCCTGTCCAGGGTGTATCCTGCCTTGTGCCTGCTGCTTACCAGGTCAGGCTTCAGCTCAACCTGTATTGATACAGTAAATCAATTGAAAAATGGATGTATGTATGGACAGTGTGTATAGTAAATTGGGTGAAATTCTACAAAGTGAGGGGACTTTTTTCGAGAAATTTGGAGTCGTTCTTCTGTACAGAGAAATTAATCCGTCTACTCTGACATATAACAATTTTCTTTCTTCAAAACACTGGCAGGTCTTAACAATACAAGTAATGATTTATCTCATAAGAATACAATCAAACAGGCAATGGTAATAGCTTATACTTTTCACAACACATTTAGGATATAACAGCTTAATAAGTGGCTCATTATATGTAGTAAATGATAAAATTTCAAGTGCTACTGTTGAAAGTACTGCTACAAAAAATACTTTAAAATAGTCCATTAACAAGAAAACATCTCATTAAACCTGGTTTTCAATAGCTGATATTTTTCATACACACCTGTATGAAAAGGGAAATGTCTTCATGTACGAGAATCAAGTCGAATTGTCAGCACCTTCTTTGTGAAAAATTGTGTTACTAATCAAGTTTAGCAGATATGCACACAGTAGCAGAGAAACATGCACATACCCCTTAAAGGCGTAGAGAACAAACAGAAATGTGGCAATTATTGTCCTCATAAAGCCATACCAAAGAGGTAAAAAATGTAAACTGACATGGTGGTACTATATGTCCCTGTTTCTGTATTCATTCCTTTAAAAATATCAATGATGGCATTTTACACTTACTGTAATCTGCCTTCATCCTTTTTAGTGCTAAAGTTGTGTTAGCTAAATCTCAATGACCATCAATTAATATTTATATAGGTAAGAAAAAGTGGGTAACAGAGTCATAGAGCAATAATACAATTAAAGTTGTTCCCTTATTTTCAATACATATGTACTGCTTCTTTTTCAAATGTCTAAATGCTTATTGAACAACTAGCACACTTTGACATATGGAGACTAGTCATCATGAGACCATTCAGTGAAAATAAAACATACTGTATATTTAGGTTGACCACTAATAATAAATACCTTCAAATGTTTTCAAATGCATGGCATACAAACATAAGAAAATAATTATTAGTTGCTAATTGATCACATGGGCTCATCCAGCCATTTCTTGAAAGAGACCAGGGTATCAGCTTCAACACCCTGATTGGGTGCAGATTTCAAAAACCTTTGAATTGATATATAGACACATAAGGATACATACACTTATCAATAATCACTTTAGGATTCCTGGAATTAGATATTTCTACTTTGAGAGAAATATATCCAAAGATATGCTAAGTAATAGGAACTCCTGTGATTGGGAACCAAAGAACAAGCTGCTTATTGATTTTAAATATAAGTTCATTACTTATTTTCAATTAACACATTGTACACCAGGATATTTGTTTTTGTGTTGAGTCAAAGCAGGATATTTTCAGGTTTTCTGGGCCCAATCAAAGTCTGTTTTTATGTTGAATGAAGAATAACAGTTGTAAGATAAATGAGCCTGACTTCGCACTGATTTAACACAGAATCTTGGAGAGACGCAACATAAGTGCTAAGCACCGTGACATTTTCAATGCCTAACCCTAACCCTTCTACCCCACCACTCAACATGCTTGAATCCCTCCCCTGTTCGACACACCTTTTCACCTTAGACGCTAATGGCAGCAGCCTTTTAGAACTGATGTTTCATCATCAAAAGGAAGTGGCCTTCAGACAATATATATTTTCCCCCAGTTACTGTATATCGTGTGCATGTTTTCAAGCTGTCAACATGCTGTGTTGTGTCATACTGTATGAAGTCCACAAACAGCAAGTCACTGTCTCAAAAACAATTGTCAAAATACTTGTTTTGAAACTTGTTTTGTTTCAGTTGTTCAGGGTTGGCCCAAGTGTTCCCTCTAAGCTGTGCGCCTGTGCGCCCACACACAGGTTATGAAATCAGCGCACAGAGGAAATTGAACTGCGCACAAAAACTTAAAGTAAAACAAATAATAATACTAATAAAACAAACATGGTCGCCAATGGAAAAAATGCTAAATTGACCACGAGACTGGCTGCGAGAGGCCCAACTTGGCTGTGTGCATTATTATGGCTACTCGATATCTTTGCTCTCATAGTCTGGTACCTCACTGCTCATGCTCACTCGACACTCAGTCTCTATGACTGGGCTCGTTGAAACGCTGTCCCAGTCTTCTATGAGAATGACTATATTAAGAAGAAATAATTTCAGGTTTACTCAATTTAGTGTGCACACGTTTTTGTCACTGGGGAAAAAATTTGCACAACTTGAAATTATGGGACACACAGGCCATTAAAAATTAGGGGGAACAGTGGTTGGCCCCATGTTTTTTCACAGTAACAACTTAAGTCTTGCTGATAGAGGTCTCTTTTTTTTTTGCTTGTCATACTTTTTAAAAATTAAATCTTTTTCAGCAGCTGTCAATAACTCTGCTACACACAAAGAGGTTACGTTTGACATGCTGAGATTTTCAAAAAGGATAAAACTTTCACACCATTGCAATTCCACTTGATCTGTCAAAAGGAAGGTCTGAGAAATCTCAGAAGAGGCTTCACCTGCCTGAACAGAATGAGAATGAATTCCCTGTTGAGCTTAAAAACTGTTACTCCAGAACCTGATTTCTGATAGAAGAGTGATAAATTCCCCTATTTTTTCATCCTCTACTTCATCTGAAGTGAAATAATGAAGTGCATTTATTTCCATAAGAAAAAAAACTGAATTGCTTACAGTGCCTTGTAAAACTATTCAGATCCCTGCACAGTTTGCTTTAAGGCTCGCAGTCATGAGATTACAAAATTAGCACCAAGCCAATGTGCAAAATCGGTAGGGATTTACCCCAAAAGACCTGCAGCTGTAATTGCTATAAAGATATATACTGATGGAAAAAATAAATTCAACACCTCCTCCTCCACACTCTGCCCCTCCTGTCTGTTTGGAACAGGCTGAAGAGTGACTCATCTGTGAAGAGGACCTGATGCCACTGCTGACGAGTCCATCGCAGCCTCTGTCTTGCCCAAGCCAGACGGGTGTGATGTCTAGGAGGTGTGAGCAGAGGGCCTCTGACAGGTCGCCTTGCTCTAAGGCCAGCAGCATGGAGCCTCACTGTCCTGTCACTGATGTGGGCATTGTGTCTGCCGGCAGTTTCAGCAGCAGTAAGGGTGGCAGATCTGAAACGATCTCTCAGATGGACCATGTGTCGGTCCTGCTCTGGTGTGGTCACTCGAGGGGGACCGGATCTTGAACAGTCATCTGTCCTGCCGGTCTGCTGAAACCTTCTCTGCAGTCGGGACGCAGTGGAGAGGCTTATTCTATAGTGTCTGGCAACGCTGGCACATGACATGCCTGCCTGCAGCATGCCAATGGCCCTCTCCCTTGCTTCTGGTGACATTGGAGGCATTATGGAATGCACAGAAAATTGACTAAGTGTGGCCTTTTCCTTGCAGTGACCTAAGCTTTGAATTAAGGCCTTTTTAAAGGTGACTTGATCGGGCATTGTTCCGCCTGGACCTCGTTGGGTAAAAGTGCACCCAACGAGCTTTCGTGTGAGTGACAAGTTGCAATGCCTCACTGCACCAGCTGTATTGATGGTCAGAGGGCTTAAAACAAATTGACAACTATTTGTGAAAGTACATAAGCTTTAACTATAGTATTCTCATTCCAGGAAATGTTGCGTTTCTTTTTTCCATCAGCACTGTACATATAGAGAAAGTAGATAAATACTAATATTGACTTTGGTCTAAATACCTTTGTAAACGACATATTTAATTGTTCTGTCTTTAATTATTTGCTGATTCTTACTGGGCCTAATCTTACCTTTAGAAGGATTCAGTTAGAGCATTCGGCTTTTGAGTAAACTATTAAGTTTTAAAAAATGTGAAGGCATCATTTAATAATTTCCCAAAAAGGAGCACCAGAGATAGGGTCTGAGTGTTTTTGCAAGGCACCGTACACGGTGAGCCATTGATGAAAAAATGTTGAAAGAGCTGTTACTTCATATGAAAAGGCCCAAGACAAGTCTCATATGAGAACGTCATAACGAGAACAGATTTTTGTATCACTCCACGTTCGTACTGAGGTAGACTACTGATTGAGTGACTCTCGTTCTTAATACTATAATAGTACCCAAAACTGATGTTGTTATTTCAATGTAAAAATTAAGCACCTTTAAATCATTAAGTGTAAGACAATAGAAAATTGTAATTATTAGGTCCATGAAAAGCCGGTCATAAACTCACACTGGACCACTGTTTCAGCTGTAGTGGATCTTCCCTGTCTTCTTGAATATTTGTTTCAAAGGGTTTTGAAGTGCTCTACCAGAAAGCAGACAGTCGTAGATAAAAGCCAGGTCTCAAGAACAACTGGTTTACAGGGATCTCCTTCGTTCCTGACAGTTTCTATTCAGAGATAGAAGAAACGTCAAGGTCCTACACACACAGGACAGGCTAAAATAAAACTCCTGGGGATAGCAGGACATTGTTCTTCGCTTCGATAGAAAGTCAATTTTAAGCAAAGGTGCTCTCGTAACGCTACATCTAGCTGCTGAGGAAAGGTAGAAGCTAGCAAAATGGATGGAGAGTTCAGAATGGAGCTTGGAATCAGCAAGCTAACAGCACAGGAACAATAGCGCAAGCATTCATGGAGCAGAGAAAGCCGTTGCTTACACCAGAGAAGCACAACACTGGGTAGGTGGGGGCGCCGGTCCACTCTGCAGAGGTACCCCCTCCTGCTCCCCCTCTTCCACGGCTTCGGGGGAGGGAGGAATTTCTGGGGCTCCTGGTTCTGTCAGTGTCTCCCCAGACAACCGGGGACTGCGCCGTCTGAGCCTCTTAATTTCGCTCTGCTCCAAAGTGTCAGCAGCCTGTCTCCACAAACACACAAAGATGTGTTTTAAGGAAAGAAGGAAAAGGAGAAATGTTGTCTATGGTAACTGTTACTGGGATTGCATACTTTATTACTCAATCCCTCATTGAGTTAATTCTTTAAAGACCTCGCAGTACAGTCTCAAATACTACGTTTGCTCCATACAGACCCATGATTAACAGGCTCATAACTCAATTGGGAATGTCCTTGCCTTCTTACTGAAATGTGGTTCTTGTCTTGGTTCATGTGGTTGTCACATGTTTGTATCGAAATTAATTAATAAGCACATCCTGCTTTTGCTTATGTATGTATACTATTGTTCCTGTAAAGCCATTTTCACTCACAGCTTTTTATAGTTAATTTTATATCATGCAATTGTTTTCTTCCAAAAATTTCAATTCTCAAACTGGAACTGGAACTGCAGTCCCGATTTCTCAGACTGGTAATTAAATCTCGTTAACAAAATAAATTCACTGAGATTACAGAAAAATGTTATCATTTTTGAATTAAGCACAAAATCGTGAACTTTGTGAAAGTTCTGTAACTTGCCACGTTATCGCAGACTTACATTCGAGTTCCCAAGAATCGCGACGTGAATAGGCCCTTGCTGCTCACTAGCTACTGTAATGACTAGTGTAATTTGATGTACGAGCAAATAAATACAGGTTGTGCAGCAGACATGTCACCACAGAAGAGTTCCATGTGATCTGCTTGCAGAGTTAACAAGCAGTATTTGTTGACAAAACTGTCTCAAAATCGAAAGCAACTTTTCTATTGGACTAAAAGAGATGTATCCACAAGCCTGCTTCTTTACAGAGTAAAAAGGTCACAACACGTCAACAGACGTTTTGTTGCCTCATTCTGAACCATAGAACATGGCACTATGTATACCTAGACATTTTGTGTATTTCGTGATACAAAATGGGAAGTTTTATAACAGACTATGTACATTTTACTTTTATTGTGGTTTGAAATGCACTCATTAATGCTGATTCTTTCTAACCCCGAAAGATACAAATGGCATTGCAGTTCCCCTTTAATATTAACACTAGCAGGATGTTAATCCCCCTAGTTTATGGCTCTATAACAACAACAGAGTATATGAGCTATCTGAAACCACTGTGTCAGTGAACGTTGACATGAATGAAGAGACCAACTATTATTTTTGCACTGTCACTTCATGATACCACATGCAATCATTCAGAAGTGTGCACCATCTCAACAATCTCTGTCTGTGAGACACAAGCCTCACCTGTCTTCGACGTGTAACACTGTAGAATTCATTCAAGCATGTCTGCCTTTCACCATCCACCTCTTTCTCCTGCTGGTCTCTTTCTTTTTCTTGGATGTTGTTGCGAAACCTCTCCAGTCGCCTCCGAACCCGGTACTCTCTGCCAAAACACACACAAAGTTAAGGCTTGGAGTTTTATCTGTTTTGTGTTGTCTCTTCATAACTGGAATAGCTTATATTTCATGCTTACTCTTGACTCTGCAATTCACACAATCAGCAGAGCTTGTAGACTAATCAGGTGCACTAATCTGTTCCCCACACAGTGTAGTGCCAAAAGCAGCAGTCTGGTAGAAGGAGCTCAGCTCTGACGATCTCTTCCTGGCCTTGCCACTTGCTTAGATGTCAACACCTGCCACCTTCGTTTTCATCTTTTCCCTAAGTCAATATATGTCTGTTCTGAATGACCCTCAATTTGCAAGCCACCTGCTACTTGGGACAATCCTGACTGGCATTACATACAAGAGGAAAATTAAGAAAATCGTTCAAAATATTTGCTAGGCAATTATGTTTAGGAATGCAACCCACTTCATGTTCTTCTCATAGCACAAGAGCTTCACCAGCCCTTCCTCATCTGGCTCTGTCCAGTTAAATGGGTGGGTCAGTAGATCCCCCACTTCGGGATTTAGGAAGAGGCTGCGTACTTCCTGATAGTTCCAGGACATTGGAATACGATCAGTCTGAGAAAGAGGTGTGAAATTAGCACACATTGATTTCACCAAGGTTATGTGCAAACAATTCCACACAGCCAGTGGCAAATCTATAGCTATTTACTGTCTTAAAGAAATATTTAAAATAATATTCACCACTGTCATTGCAAGAGCTTTAATTCTAATGTATATGACATACTGCTACTGCCTAGATATAAAGTGCACAGTCAGTTTACATACTGATCATTTACTGTGAGATTCTAAACTTTTGTTTTATTCACCTCATACAGACTGTTTTCACGGCTCAGCCAAATTACGGTGTAGTTTTATATTGCATGTAAATTACACAAGACTTTGTCATAATAAAATAAATATTCCGCACGATCCCCCTATAACAGCACAGACATGTGAACTTCAAGTGAAAAAGAGAGTTTAGATTAAGTGAAATGAGGTGAGATGATTTACAGCAAAAGCACATGTGCTTCATTCTTGATAGCTGTTCAGATCTTTATATTACAGTGTAAGACCATGAATGGGTGTTAAATTGCTGTTTCCTACCTCTGCGCCAATTTGAAGGATGATGTTCTCAATGGTCTTGTGCTTCTGAATCAGGTCGAGGGCTTTGCGTGGCCCCAGGCCCCGGATCTTCTCACAGAAGTCACATCCCAGCAGGATGCACAGGTCCACAAACTACAGAGAGACAAGTTCGTGAAACTGAACACTTGATTTAAAAATAATTGGGTCATGTAACAGAAGAGATCCTGCTGGGTCATGTAACAGAGGTGATCCTGCTGGGTCATGTAACAGAGGTGATCCCGCTGAGTCATGTAACAGAGGTGATCCCGCTGAGTCATGTAACAGAGGTGATCCTGCTCAGTCACGTGACAGATGTGATCCTGCAGCATTTCAGTAATGTGTGGGGACCCCTGTCTGGAGAATGGAGGGGAGGAGTTTGCTCCCATGGGAGTCGTACATGATTAATGTAACAGAATCCACCTCAAAGCACCTCAGAGCCAGAACAAAAACACTAACCTCACCACAACATTTCAAAGGTCTGGATTAAAAACAAAACACAAACCTGTTTTCAAAGAGGTTGCTTGGGTAGGTGTGTTGTATTCTGTACTCTTAGCACAAAAACCTTTATTGCCCATCAAAATACCTTACCTGTGTAAATATAAAAGTAAACAACTTCAGTTCTCACCTGCTCATGAGTCAATCCCAGAATCTCCAACAATTTGGGAAGGGAATATTCCACAACCTCACTGAGAAGGGGAGAGAGAGAAAATGATAAACAGAGAAAACTATGTTGAAAAAACAACAGTAAAGCACAAGTTCAAAAGGCATCAGCAGTGACACTGCCAAACTTTAATACTGCCACATTAGTTGTTGAAATTACATTGAAACCCTAAAATTGTTTAATAGTGTTTGACCAAACTGCTGAGATTTTGATTCTGTATTCAAGAATTGTATTTAAACATAGCTCAGAGCATATGTTTTAATTATTTTGTTTTTGATCCTGCTGCCAGTTTATAATGTATGAATGTCCTCTGGGCTGATTCTAACATAAAGACTTCCCCCGAAGTGCTCAGACTGTTACAGACACTCTCAGAAGGTCTAAGACAATTCTTCAGGACACAATTAGCCACAGACATCCCCAAACCCTACGGGTATCCTCCATTTACACACTGAGATCAGGCCTAACAGAACAGGCATCACAGTGATGGGCAGGACAGAGAAATACTCTTCTCCTCTCACCCAGACTTTTTGGCATTCAGCTGGCGAAGCAGCAGCAGGCCTCCGAATGGCATGGTGTCCATGTCTTCTGAGGCCACAGCATGCACACGCCCACACTTCACCAGCTGGGCACACAGAGCCTCTGCCTCATTAGGGGCCTGGAGAGGGGTACAGAGGGCAGGGGTCCAGTTAAAAAATGGGTGATCAGAGAAAGAGGGGAGGACGGACTGAGACAGAGAAGAGATAGTGGGAAGCCACAATTCTATTTGTTCACTTTTATGAGTACGCTAACCATTATGTCCTTAGTGTACAAAAACATAATGTTCATTAAGCACAGCTAATAATTTGTTCTGCCATAAGTATTCTTCATTACATAATGATGTAATAAATTATATAATATGGCTTAAATGGGTTGCACATGCATTTACTTTGGCAATGCTCGTTCACATGGTCATGCCAATACAGCATCTCTGCAGACAGAGACAGAAGCAGAGAGGCCTGGCAGTTAAAAGAAAGAGGGATTGAGGGGCAAGGAGGTGAAGCTCACCTGCAGGAAGGGCACACCCAGCAGCTGCAGGAGCTGTTTGCACTCCTGCTTCTCATTGGTGACTGGGAACACAAAGACAGCTGAATGAGGGCAAAGAGTTCTCACAGTGTTTTCGCAGAGTCTCGTAAAGTCTCACAGAGTCTCAAAGCATTCTCACAGTCTCATTAAGTCTCACAGAGTCTCGCAGAATCACACAGAGTTTCAAAGCATTCTGAGTCTCATTAAGTCTCACAGAGTCTCACAGAATCACACAGAGTTTCGAAGTATTCTAACTGTGTCTCATAAAGTCTCAAAGAGTCTCACAGAATCACACAGAGTCACAAAGTACTCTAACTGAGTCTCAAAGCATTCTAACAGAGTCTCATAAAGTCTCACAGCTTTCTCAGTGTTTCACAGAGCTCTCAAAGAGTCTTTACAGCCTAAGTGTCTTGCAGTGTTCTCATGGAGTTTCATAAAGTTTCACAAAGGTCTCACACTCTCACTAAGGAAGCACAGTGTCCTTTCAGTGTCTTCATGTTTACATTGCCTTGAGACAGTGAGTGTACCTACAGTATGTATCAGTGTGTCTGCATATTTTAGCGTTAGGATAAATCTATAATAATAATGTTGATAACTATATGTAACATAATTTCAGTCTCTCCGCCAGTGGCCGCAGCTGTGTTTTAATGTCAGTATATCAGTTTGTGTGTTTCCATTTGTGAGGATAACTGTTTCTCACCTCCTCTGGATTTTAGATCCCAGCCTCCTGTCTCTGCACGTTTCTTCAGCTGCAAAAAAAAACCCAGTATATTACAGCAGCACCACAGACAGCACTGGCAATCCTACAGTCAGCAGTGCCCTTGTTTGCCTTAAAATTCCACATTTCTCTCCACTGCATGTAAATGGATAAATATACAGTATACAATAACTTCACAACTTAGTGGGACCATTTTCAAAACTTTCTGTTCTGGCTGATTTTTCTTAGCTTTGCATGACCATTTATAATTTGTGTTTTTATGTTTCTACAAATATTCCATAAAAAAAAGAGCTAAGCCCTCTGGAGACAAATAAAGATCTAAACCTTATTCTTAAGGTTAAGAAGTCCTGAAAGGTTTCAGAAAATACTAGAGTCACTGTCTGCTGTTGGTAAAAAAAAAACAGAAACAATTTCTTGTGGAAAACACCTTTAGAAAACTGTTTTCAAGGTTCATCTTGAAAAGACAAAAAGAATCAGAATTTTACAAACACAGATCTCTATTGCGCATGTCAGACAGATCCTCCGGTGATGGAGGGATCAAGTGAAGGAGTGTATTTAGAATAAACGAACTAACTGGTTATTTCCATTTGCGATGGAGAGGAAAAGTAGAAACTCTTCTCTTTGTACACCTTAACTCTAGTCAGAACAATTTACATTTTCTAGATCTCCTCAAATCATTCAGTGCTGAAGACTTTTGAAAAGTTATAAATTGGGTCACTTGAGATCAGGACTGACTCAATCAGGTCATTAAGAGCAGAGGCAGAACAAAAACCTGCTGACTCCAGGATAAATCAAATTGGGAAGACTTGGCAAAAGTTAGGTCCTCCTGGATAACATAGCTGTGATTGCTGTAGTCGTGCATAATCTGTGCCTTTCTGCATGTCTCACAGCACTTCACTCAAACAAATGCATATATCTGCAGAAAAAAGTAACTTCATGTAGGAAAGGGTGAAAGGAAAATTACTTAGATAATAATAATTGCTTACACTTATATAGTGCTTTTCTGGACACTCCACTCAAAGCGCTTTACAGGTAATGGGGACTCCCCTCCACCACCACCAATGTGCATCCACCTGGATGATGCGACAGCAGCCATAGTGCACCAGAACACTCACCACACATCAGCTATTAGTGGGGAGGAGAGCAGAGTAATGAAGCCAATTTATAGATGGGGATTATTAGGAGACCATGATTGGTAAGGGCCAATGGGAAATTTGGCCAGGACGCCGGGGATACACTCCTACTCTTTTCGAGAAACGCCCTGGGATTTTTAATGACCACAGAGAGTCAGGACCTTGGTTTTACATCTCATCCGAAGGACGGCGCCTGTTTACAGTATAGTGTCCCCACATGGACCACAGGGTGAGCGCCCCCTGCTGGCCCCACTAACACCTCTTCCAGCAG